CCCACAGAGTATTGAGCACCTTCAGGAATGCAGGATCAGGTTGGTGTGGATGGGCTGTCTGCTATGAGATAGATATAATCTTTTATGTCATAACCTGAGCTTTTCTGTGAGCCTGATTTGAGCCTGCCCTGAGCTGTGGAGCAGAGGAGCCCTTTGGCAGCTGACCCACAGTTTCTGCCTCTCACGCTGCCTGGTGAACAGCGGCAGACAGGGCTGGACCTCCCCAGACCAGAGCTTTGCAAGGATGCTGAGTCACTGCACAGAAATGTCAGTTTTTCTACAAAAAAACCCTAAACCCTCGTCATTTCTCCATCCCTCTGAACTTCTGCAAGGTCTATGATTTTTCAGAAAGACCCAGTTCTATCAGCAGCCAGGCAGATATGGCTGAGGAGTGACATGCTGCACAAACCCCATGGTAAGCTGGCGCTGCTAATCAACAGGAGATGGAGCGAGATGGGTTGCAGTTGCTCTCTGTCCTGCGAGGGCAGCTAGTTAATGCTCCCCCCATGTTACCTCTTCTGGTAGTGGTTTGTTAGAGGAGAGTTTTCGAAAGTGAGGAATGCAGGGTGTGGAGCTGCATGAGCACAGGGCATGACACAGCACCATGCCAGTGCCACCCTTTACAGCAGTGGACCTTCCTCCCCTCTGATGGGGGATATGGATCTCGACAGCTAGCAGGAATATCTACTTTATGTAAACTTTGGTCACAGTGTTCTGATTCCTCCTCCTCAAAAGCAGTCAGGAATGTTTTTAAAAGCAGCAGGACTCCCATCCGTAAGTGTGACACAGGCACTTAAAGCAATGGGTATTCAGCAAACTTGGGAGCTAAGAGCCTGGTGCTGAGACCCTACAGGCACGTGATCTCACCACTGCCACAGGTGAGGACCCACCAGCTTCATGCGGATTTTGTTGACCTTGACTCAGACTGCTTCTGAGAGCAAGGCTTTATGCTTTGGGGATTTTGTCTTTTTCCCCCAAAGCAAGGTAAAGTGGTCACGCCTTCTTAGACATTTGGCCACAGACCTGCAAGGAGGTGAGGGATGCAATCTCTTCAGAAACAAGCATAATATTTAATTTTAGCAACGAGGTGCCTCATCTGAGCTCCTTAAGATCAAGTAAGCAGTCAGGGTACAGTACTCAGAAGTTGCATGAGTTTTTCTTTGGTCTACCAAGAAGACAATGGGAAAGGGAGGGATTCTTTCTCTCTGTAGGCCTTCAAGGAAATCATGTCAATGCATTGGTTTTTTAGTTGCTTCTACTAGAAGAGGTGTTAACAGAGAGCCCTGATGACCATCCCTTGGAAGTGCAAAGACACAAACCAAGAACTTGGACAGTATTTAGCAGAAGCAAGGCTGTGATATGAATACCCAGCAAAGCAATGGCCAGAGGGGCTGGATACCTGGGTGGGAGAGCCATCCAGCACCTGCTACTCTGCAGCAGTGTAGCCTTTTGCAGGTTTTTCCTATGCCTGTGGCTAGCCAGGCCAAGCAAAACACCACTACGTACCACAACACAGCAACTTTGGAGGGCGAGAGAGCCACGAGAATCTGTGGCACCGTGGTGGGGTCCCCCAGCCCATTTAGGCCAGCTCTGGACACCCTATACAGCACTGCCAGCTGCGGTGATGGCTCTCACCCCCTTGTGTCTAGAGATCTGCCTCTGACCTTCCCCATGTTCATAATATTTAAACACATGGGGTTAGGAACCCTCCTTGAAAATCCCAGGTTGCTGTAAGATAGTCTGTGAGTTTTCACATTACAGAGCAAACCACCTTCTGTTCGCTTTAGTGAAAGAAGTCATTGCTTGAGCCAGCCAGTTTTGTTGGGGGGGGTTTCATTACTGCTACTTAAAAATTTCCAGCTATGTGACCTTATTTATCTGCTTTGTAGTGTGCTGCTTCAGGAACCCAAGCTTGTTCTGTTTGGGTGGGATAAACTCAGAAATATCCAAGTGCTTCACTATATCCAGGTAACATGGACATTTCTAATATAATTGAAGGTAAAAAAGAAATTTCTAATGTAATTTGTCCTCCTTTCTATGGGCAGCACCAAGGAGCACTGTACTGCAGAGTGATGAATCTTGCTGGAAACCCTTCCCCCAGAGCGGGCAGCGATGGCAGCCTGTTGGCTGAGCAGAGGGGCAGCCTGGCCAGTGCCCAGAAGTGCTTGCGGTCCCCTCACTGAGCATCTCTGGCACAGACAGTGCCAAAGGCAACCCACCTGTGCTAGGTGGCTCCTGCCGAGCATCCTCCTCTGCTTCACAGCTCCTCAGGAGACAATCTATTCCGAGCCACTCTTGTACATAACTGTGCTATACTTAAATATCCCATGTACAGCATTTAAATATATTGTATAATTGAATCTATTTCTATACAGTGTATGTAAAAGCTTGTCTTTATGAGACACAGTGCCAACAGGTAAGAGATAGCAAGGTGAACATCTAAGTGTCATTTTCCTGCCTGGAAACCTGGAGCAGATGACAATACTCTCTGCTCCTTGTTTTCCGCACCTGTAACACTTTTCTCCCCTCAGCAGGCTCTCAGTGTTGGGAGCCTACAGATGAAGTCACCTCCCTAAAAATCATCCTAAGACAATACTTTCTGACATACTAAGAACTATACTGTTCATCTTAATTTGCTTGCTAAATTACCTTTGTTTAATCAAAAGACTCTTCATGCTGCCTTACATGGTCCCCTAAGGCTGATTCATTGCAGGTATCGTTTATTCCTTTTTTAATAAAATCACTATCTTAGCCCTGTTGTTTAGTAATGAAAAATAAAATGGTATAGAACCTACCTTGTTTTTGGTAGGCAGTTTCCCATTCTTCCACTGGATCTCGTCACCCTTTAGTAGCCAATTTTGGTGTGGTTTCCCTGATGGCTGAATTGTTTGCTGCACTGTTGTGTTACAGAGTGAAACTCAGGGACAAAAGAGGCTCACTATCTCTCACACTGTAAGTGTATGCAGCACCCTGATATTGTGCACCTAAAAAAAACTCCAAAGCCTCCACCTCAGGCAAGCACTGATGAGTGGGGGTGGGAGAGGAAGAGGGGACGAATGGATGAGTGACGTGGTTTCCTGGGGTGCTGGCAAGGGTGTACTGGTGCTAGTGGCCTCCACGAAGTGACTAGCAGGTTGCAGCATAGACTCCCTCTAGGATCCCCTGAGTGAAACAGAAACTTGGGGTGCTCTTGTCAAGAGGAAACCGCATGACTAGACATCTGGCTCTTCTGAGAAACGATGTGACAAACTGAATGGTAAAAACCAAACACTTCAAAACCCAACAAAGCACAGGCTTTGCTACTGAAGCTTTCCAATGCATTCTGTTTTTGCTTATTCCTTTTTGACTTTTTTATTCCTTTTTCTTTCTCCTGAGCTACAAGGAAGAAGAAAATCAGAAGAACCAGATGTACAATTTGCAGGGCTGATGGCTCAGGGTGTAAGTGTGTTTCAGTTCACACATTGTAATTGTGGTAAGTTGCTGAAAAAGAAAAAAAAGTCTCTGTAAGATTTCAGGTGTCTGCAGCAATTTCATCAAAACAGAGGTAAGAAGTGTTGTGCAGTTAACTGGACAGTTTCACAACAGGTGCTGTCTCCCAGTAACGTGGTTTTGCAGATGGACACAGGCCACCATAAACTAGGTCTTGGCTAAGCAACACCACTCCTTTGTTTCTCTTTTGCACTTTGCTAGGCAGTCCCACATCAGATTTCAGTGCTGTCTGATGTAATTTGCAGTCCTTTACTGCAGTTGATGGCAGTGTGGTAGTGGAGGGAGGGAGCCCAGTTTGGGAAGTGACCACAGATCAAATACCTCCAAGTCAAACATGACCAAGGAAAAACAGCTGTGGCTGCATAAAAACTACCCTGTGCCATCTGATCTAAAACTTGTGCACAAACATGACACTTTGTCTGTAACCCTGCCCATATTAGTATCACCCACCTGGTCCTGCAGCATAACTTAGGCTGCAGGTCCTGCCACAGCCCACCCCAATGTAGTGACACAGGCTGCAGCATACGGTGGTAGATGCAGCTACTGTCTTTATCCCAGTGTACTGCAGCTCTCCAAACCCAGCTGAGATGGAGAGGGATTTGCTGGATGCAGGCATTATTTATGAACATGTTATAACTTACCAGGCCTGTTCAATAGCATTTGACAAGCTGCTTTCCAATAGTAACATCTACTACTAGTGCTGATGAACAAACCTCCAAAAGTCACTACAGTTTGGCAGTGGATTGAAACCTTCTCCCTCTGTTTTGTTCTCTTTACAGGCAGTGCTTTGAGAGGTGGCACTGAATCCTGCTGACAAGGCAGGCAGCTACATGGTTGGTAACCTCGTTTTAGAGGGTTGAAAAATTAATGGTTTAGATTGATGGTTGACAAAACAATGGTTTAGACTACAGTTTTGCCTGAGTGGCTCCCGTCAATCACATTTTCCAGAAGTTCAACTATGTTATTATTGATATCATTAGTCACTTGGTCTGTGTGGAAATGTTGTCATTTAGTGACTCTGCAATTATTTCTTCTGTGTCCTTTTTTGTTTTACTGGGAACTAGAGAGACCATCCTAGTGCAACAGAAAGCAAGGAAAGAGTATGACTCACCGGGTTTTTCAAGCAGTGGTTGCAGAACTATCTTTTGCCCAATTTATTCCCAAGCTTTCACTGGCTTTGGAAAGTGCCTGAAGCTCAGGCATGGTGTGCTGTTCTCAGAAATGAAGCCGCTGTGCAACTGAAGCAGGAGAGCATGGAACCTGACTGACAAGCAATCTGACTGACACCAGCAGTCAATGCAAAGACAAGCAGATCAGGAACTGTCTGAATAAATGTACTTAAAGATGCTCTCACAAAATTGAAATAAGTGGTGTGGTTAATGAATTGACCTCATATTCCTGCCTACCTTATGTTTGAAGCTGATTAGCTGCTGATGTTGGCTGGTCCCTGGAGGAAGAGGACATCAGAAAGAGATGCTGCAACAGTCAAATGGGCTTGCAGAGATGCAGGGATGTAGCCTGGGAGGGAGGTCCCTGTATCGCTGGGTTCCATGTGGTGTCAGCAGCAGTCAAAGGTGAAGCAGAGCCTGGAAGAAGCAGCCAGTGTACATGGCTCTTTAGCACCAGGCAGGGGATGCTGTTAATAATTTAAAGACAACACATTTTTCCAACTGCAATACCCATCTCTATCTTTTTCTTGGATGTCGCTAAGACTGAAGGTTTACTCTGAATGAAAGCTGTTTGATGTAGCAGCACCAGGTTGGAAGATTAGACTATTTCTGATGAAATTTAAATTGTTGAAGCTGGCAAAAACATTTCCTATGAGCTGAAAAATACATCGACTTGGCTTGCATTTTTAAATCAAGTGCAGTTCCTTTTGTGATCACTAGGTGGCGAAGTTCAGCTAGGAGGACTTCAACAGTGTCTGCAAGCTTGTGGAATATTCTGTTAAACTTTAGTCTCAAAATTGAAGCAGAGCTAAGGTAACGGCACCAACAAATCCTGGAATTAATATTTGCACAGGTCACTTGTACCCTGCTAGGAGGCTTTGGTGCAAAAGGACACGGTTTCAGCAAATCTTCAATGTTTTTTTTCAGTTTTGGATGTTTTGAGAGGCTGACAGTTGGAAATTAAATGTTTGCTTGTGAATCTCCTTTTCAAGGCTGGTAGTTTTCCCTCTGACTTGGTCCAGAGCCTGTTGGAGCTATCTGCATTGCTTAATATCTGTAAAATGGTCTGCAAACCCCACAAGAACCATTATTCACTGATTTCACATTTTGGTCAGAGCAGAATGCCCTTCCAGAAATCTTTCAAGAAAATGCAACTATGAAAATAACTCAAGGAAAGGAAAATGAGCTGTGATACCTCAAAGTTACAAGACAATAGCATGAAGCAGTTGCAGTTTGCAGAGTGACGGGAACAAATTACTGAACCTACTCGAAAACTCATCTAAAATGTTTCTTTAGAGGAATAGTGATACTGGAGCTGTTTCTGTTTTCAGATAATTAATTACCACGTGGGAGGAGAGAAGGAACTGTGTATGTGTAAGCATGTCTGAGAATCTTTTTTGTCATGTTATGATGTGAGCCTGTCGGCTTCTCCCAACCTATTTGCATGATTCAAGGTTAATCTCTGCAGCAACTCAAGAAAACATTTTTTAATGCTATCATAGTCATGTGGAGCAGTAAGAATTTGCAGAAATGTAAGTCATCTAATCAGGAAGCAGAAATCCGTACAAGTTTGTTAGCAAATGAGGACTTCACAACCTGTGGGCTGAAGTTTTTGCTTGTTTCAGCAATGGGAACACAGCTGGCAGAAAGAGAGACACACAGGCGTAAAAATGACAAAGCAAAAAAGGCACGAAAACAATGACTCAAAAGGGCTCTGTGAGCTATTTTTATATCATCTCAGTTGAAGGCAGAGAGGAAGGGGTGTGCTTGAGGGATGGCAGCTCTATATTTCCAAGGAACAGGTGTGGGGAAGTAGCATGGACCTGTAGATATGGGGGTTACCTCAGTGGAGGAGAGGGGAGACCAAGTCTCTGCTTTTTCCCTGAGGCAACATGTGTTCTATGCCCTTGGTTGGGCACTTGGCTTGCTCTGATCTCCTTACCTGGGTAAAGAGTTGTGTTACCGCAGCATCATCAGCTTCTGGGTCTCCACTGATTAACATGTGGGGTGCAGACCCCTAACTGGGTTCTCTGAGTTACATGTTGGGGACATTTGTACTACTTATTGCAGCATGACTATTGACCTGAGCTCCTTTCCCTGAGCTCAGGTCAAGACCAGGGTGGCCCACAGATATTGGGTGCTCAGCCAGCTTAGAAATCTGGGCTTGTGTTTAGGCTCTTACAAAAACCTAACCTTATGGAAAGGGCGCTTGTGAAGAACCCAGCCTTGTAACCCGTTACACCTGCCCATCTAGCAGCCCAGCTGGGAAATCTTCAGTTTGTGGCTCTGACTTTTGTTGTCACGTCCCCTGAAATTTCTGTTATTCAGCTGAGTGCTGGAGGGCCAGGAGGTTTTTACGAGATGCCTGTTACCGTATGTGCAGGGAGGGGGAATGTCCCTTCAGTAAGAGCGAAGTGTATAAAAAAGGGGAAGCCATGCTCAATGGATCAGTCACTCGCTCATCTCACTGAGCACACAGCTAAGATGATGGTTGCTTGTCTGCTCTTCTCCAGCATCTGGACCATTGCATCAGGTAACTCCCTTGTCTGTCTGTCTGTCTGTCTCGTTACTGTGATGGCATTATGGACCTCGGTGGCCCTGCCAGCCTGCTGCTGTGCTGCTGGGTGCTGAAGTCCCTGCCTGGCATCCCCCCGGGGCCATCCCAGTGGTGGGTGACAGGGCACTTGTGGCACTGCAAGTGACTGCACTGCTCACATGGGGCTTCAGACATGTCACTGCAGGTTGTGCTGACAGCATCCTCTTCTTAATTTACCATCAGTGCATTTATAAGCTGCAGACAGATGTATGAATTTATTGCAATTTGCAGATCATAAACAAGGCAAATGTCCAAATGCTTCCAATGACTCATGTAAATGAAGCTTGATTCCATCTCCTGTGGTGGCTGGGATTTGGGTCAGAGTATGACACTAATTTGCTATAGCCAGAAAATTATTTGTAGTGATGGACATGGTGCTTGTAGGTGTCTGTTCAGGTCACTACAAGTGTGGGTGTGTTTGGTTTTGTAATTAAAACTCAGGCAGAGAAAACTGGATTTGTTTCAAACTAACTTCTCCAGTCATGGTTGGTATTCTGCCTATGGCACTACTGAGCTCTGAAAAGCAAATGACTGCCAGAGCTTCGCAGCTGGCTTCTTGGTCTCTGGCAGAGATTTGCCTGGCTACAGCCACATCCACAGAGAGGGCAGGACCTGAGAGAGCTTTGTCAGGTGGGTTAGCCAAGTGTACCTCTGGGCACTGCAGCCACACTCACCCAAACTGAATTATATGTTTTCAGTGCTGTAACTGTCCCTGCTGCTATGTCCCTTCCCATGCTGATGTACACAAATAAACTTTAAAAAACTGTTATCCTAAGAGGTCTGCAGAGCTGAGCTGTCAAACTGGGAGTGTTCATTTTGCCTGCGAGTCTCCTTAATATTTTTTCCACATGTGTCTGTGAATTGTCAGAGGAGACTCATTTTTTTGTTTTTCTTTTCCCTGGAGATCTTTAATATCATGGCATTTATGCTATGAATGTTTTCGGTCTGTGGGTGTTCAACATGGTCTCAGCTGTTTCCCAGCTGCATGGCCTGAAGTCTGAGATAGGAGGATGGATGCAGTTTGCCTCTGGTCCTCCCTACCTTGATTTTTCCTTCTGGTTTTCTGTTCTCTTGTCAGTCTCAGACATGTGGATACATGTAATAGTTTTTAGCAGCTTTACTGATTTGCTTCTTTCTGCACCACGGGAGGGCTTAGAGAGCAGTAATGCACTGATGGCCATTTGGTTTTTAACACCGCCGAATGTTTAGGGAACCTCTCCATGGGTGTCCATGGGATAAGAATCTTAGTAGACGGAAATAAGTCACTCCTGACACCAGAACTACCCTTCTCGGTGGCACTGTCTGCAGCACAGGTATCAGGCTGGTGAGATGCTTTGTGTGAGGGTTGTCAGGTACAGAGAACCTCTCAGAGCAATTCTTTCAAGCTGAATTTTCATTTTTTCCCTGGATGGAGGGGCAGAGACCCTCCAGAGCTGCTCTGCTCAGGAGTGAGGGTGAGGGTCTGGACGGAGCTCTGCTGGGGTTGGGTTGCCAAAAGATGGTGGGAAATGCTGAGTATGGCACCTGCTTCTCCCCCAGGCTCCGTGCAGGTGATGCACAGAAAGGTCCAGTCAGTCCGAGCAGGAGGAAATGTTACTTTTTCATGCCGGTCAGTCACAAAAGAAGATGTGCTACAAGTGACCTGGCAGAAGGAGACAGACGGGGCTGAAGACAACATAGCAACTTATAGTATGATAAATGGCCAAAAGATAGCAAAGGGCTATGTCGGCCACGTGAGCTTTTCCCACAGTGAGTTACAAGCCTCGTCCATCTCCCTTCATGGAGTCACCCTCCAAGATGAAGGATGCTACAAGTGCATCTTCAACACGTTTCCCTCAGGGGCTGTCACCGGCAGGATGTGTCTCAAGGTTTACGGTAAGGCATCATAATTGCTTACAGGCTATCATCTGAGATCAAGTTGTTTTCCCTGGGAAAAGCCTTCCCTAACCACTGGTCATTACTAAATTGCTGTGGCAAAGGTGGCTCATCTTTCTCTCTGGCTCTTCTTTCCTCTCTGGTTTTACCTCTGATGGGAAGTCAGTGTTCAACAATTCTTTACTTTTCTTCCCCTTTAAGTCAACAACAGAGCGATCCAAAAAATGACGCGTAACACATGACTTCCTCCAAGTTTCCCTGGCCGTGTACTGTGTTGACAGCTGGCCTGCCACACTCCTCTGCTTCCTTTCGCTGCTGTCACCTCCTAAGCCTGGAAATCAGGCACTGTTTTCTTACTCTGCCTTCAGTCTTAAAGAAATTCAAGGTATTCAAAAGGCTGAGAGGCATATGCATGACGAGAGTATCTGGAAGATGTTTTTGAAGCTTTAGTAAAAATGACAATAGTTAGGCTGGGGTCAGGAAAGGGTTAGGAAAAAAAAAAAAAAAAGCTGAAATACAACACTTGTGGACTTTCCCACATGAACATCTTGTGCTGGTCAGCATCGATTAGATTCAAGAAGATAGTTAAAACACAGCATGAGCCGAGGCAGCAGTATTGTCAGTGTTGCCAGCTAGCAAGTACAAGCTGAAAGAAAAACAAATAGATGTACCCAAGAGTGAAAAGCTGTTTACCTTTTGAGGGAGGGTCTTGGTTTTCTGCCAGTGAGAAAGCTGAGACATTAAACATGCCCTGAAGACACCCTGTTGCCTCCTGACTTTCTCATTGGTGACTCTGCTGTGGGGACACTGGCCAAAGGTCATGTCCCATGTGGAAAATATTGGTGTCTGGAGCCTGCCACTGGTGGCATGATCCTTGCAGAGTATTTTGTTTATCCCTAGTACTTTCTGTTGACAAAGACACAGACACGTATGCCCACACATGTACCCATGTGCCAGGAGTCCTCTGCATGGAAAAAAAAGATGCCCCTGGCTTATAGGGGAAAGATGACTTAAACAATAGGGGAAAGCGGGGTGAGGGGAAATACAAGGGAAAACCAAGCCTGGGACAAAAGTTCTTTTTCTTCTCTCTTGGAAAAGCTCCTAGAGCAGAAAAGAGAAATTAGGAGAAATTTACTCAGTATTTCAGATATGAAGAGGAAGGTGTTCCTAAAGATACACAGCCCTGAGTCATTTAGAGGCTAAGCACTGATTATACATTACAGGAAAACATGGAAGTGCCTTGCAGAGGGATTCCATTCTTTTTAATCGTGTAAATCTAAACACAGACTTAGATTTGCTTTGTTTTGTTGTTTCCTTGGTTTGTTATCCAAGTGGGGGAAATATTTCCCAAAGTCATGAGCCTTGTGGCTATGGTTCATACTTCACCAGAGCACTACTTTAAAAAAAAAGTTTTTCTGCTGCCACACACACTCCTGCAAGCATCTCTTCCTGTGCCTCAGATGAAAACCCATCAACTGAGAAGGGTTTCACTTTTCTCGTGGGCAGGCGTGAACCCTCTGCTCCCGCTGCACTGGCACAGGCCCAGGGGCCGCTGCCAGGGGTCAGCTCATGGGGGCCACCGTGCCCTCCCTGAAATGCGCTTTATCCAACCTGGCCTCATGGGTCACCATGTATAAACTGTTTGGCACTGTGACAGAAGATTTTGGTTCACATATGGTGTATTTCATTGAAGCTAATTTATGCAATGCTACTTAAAAGCCACAGTCTTACTCCCTTATTCCCCAACTCATAACGATGGGAAGAACTTGTTTGAAGAAGCCCAGAGGATTCCCCGGGGTGGAGCATGAAGCCAGCAGGAATCTCCCAAGGCTCAGGGATTCAGGGCAAGGTGAGCAAGATGGAGTCACCAGCTGAAAATGAAAAGCTGCCATGTCTTTGCCCTCCAGAGGGGACTGCCAGGGAGTTTACAAGCTGGTAATTGCCCAACTGCAACAGCCTTTGCAAAAGGGGCTCTTCCAGGACAGGCACCGTCACTGTGTGACAAGGGGAAGTGAAACTGCGTAAGAACTGGGTATAACACTCTGTAAAAAGAAACAGGTATGTCTGATGGAATGTCAGACCTGCCTGGCTGAAAACAGAACACCCGAGAAGCAGCAGAAGTTTCCTACCTTGTAGCCAAACACATTTTGGAACAGAATAGTTTCAAGTAGGCTTAGTGGGTCTTTTATGAACAGCCTGCTCACCTTGCCCCTCTGTTTTTCTTTGGAAATGTTTTGTCAACTCTCACCACTAAAGAGAATGAGAATGAAACTCAGGAAGGGGATCAAAGAGAGGAGGTTATGCTACACAAGAATAGGCAAGACTTGCAGAGTCACAAAATTCCCTGGGCATTTGCTGGGCCATCTTCAGAGACCTTCTGCCTTCATTGTAGATGACACTGTTCACCTGGAAGTCTTGAGCACAGCAGAGAGGTGCCATCACAATTCTTAGATAAGGAAACTGAGGCACGGTGTTGCTGGTAAACACCCATAGGTTTAGAAAAGGTTTTCTGTCATCACAAGACATACTGTAATTCCTAAAATTATTCTACCAGTCTCTCTGAGACCACTGTCAAGCCTTCAAACATTAAAAGTTCATCATGACCTGACAGTCCCCCTTTATTTACAGAAGACCATTACAGATAAGCAAAGCTGATATACTTCGCTGGGAAGTCCCTTTTTCAAATCCTTGGGAAGACTGCCACAGTCACAGAATTAGGGAACAGTTGCATTACTGCTCTGCAAGAGCTACTAAAAGAAGTACTTGCATACTGACTCTCCTGCGGTACTTCTTCACTGGAAGAAAATATTTAGATGAAAGGCAAAAGAAGTGGTTATTTTAAGTGTATGTGTCAAACACCACCAGCAGGCATATGCTAACAAACAGCATAGCAGGATTTCACTGCAAAAGCAAGCACTTACACATTTCGAATGTGCATCTATTACGGACACTTGCTAATGGGAAGCTCAACCCTACAGGATTTTTTCACATGATAATCATTCCTTGGGATCCAACGTGAGAAGAGTGAGGGTTGCTTAGAAGAACAGCAGGTGTGGAGCGCATGTGTTTCTGCCAAGATACTGAGCAATTTTTCTCATCCCCTCTGGAAACCTCTGTGACAGCTTTCCTTTACTACTTTTGGATGTTGCATCTAATATTTGAAGTTAATGCTGTGGGTGGATATGCTATTTTTATGCATCCCGTGAGTGAAAGAAGAAGTTCAGAGGTCATTTATTAATCAAAACATAAACTGTTTATGACACTTGTCTTTTCGTACATGGGAGATTTTAAGAAATTCCAGCTGAAATCCCCCTGCACTTTTTGTTGCTCTCAGAGAAACACTAGTGGATTTAATCAATCCTGTGGGGTTTGAGTTTCTGTCTATGGGTGATGCAAAAAATGAGAAATACACTTTTTAAAGGCAAAAATGATGATATAGAATGTCTTGCTTCCACTCTCTGGCAGTTATGGCTTGGAGGATCCAGACAACCTTGTGAGGTACATCTGGAATTGTACCAGGAGGTTATAGGCACCGTTATGCATCTGACACAAGCTTTTTCTCCCTTTCACAGGATCATTTGGTGTCTGCTACACTTCATTCATAAGCAAATCCTTGTTTACCTCCTAAAAGTAAAAAAGAATAATTTTTTTTCCTAAGAAGAATAAACTGATTTTTTTGTTGCTGTTTAAAAGTAGGATCAATAAATGATAGTGATATGTTTGCTAGTGTTGGGGCAAAAATTAATTTCAGCATAAATATTGTGCTGACCATTGATTATTATTTTTGCTATGTAAATAGTAACATGTAGTACTACTATATATAGTAATAGATACTTCTTTAATTAGAGAGCATTCATACTGACTCAAACTTGAATGAAACTAGAATTACCACTGCACTTAAATGGTTAAAAAAAGTAATATTCTCAGAAACAGGGACCTAGAAGTAGAGTGTGGTTTGGACCCCTGTGCCATCTGCACAGGCATGGAAGTAGAAGGCAGGCTGGTGAGCTGCCATACAGAAACCTGGGGATTGCACTCCCAAACAGAGCTACATGCATTTAGAGATCTTGGCCTGAGCAAACTGAGCTAATTAGACTGGGTCTGAGCAGGAGCTTGGACTAGATGACCTCCAGAGGTCCTTTCTGACCTAAATTATGGCATGATTTTACAGCCAAAGAATAAATAAGTGATTTTTGCACAGGGGATAGACGTGTCCCTGTGTGTTCAGATCTCCCCTGGAATTCTAATCAAGTTGAAGACAGTTTCCTGCACTCCTTTCTTTATTCCTTTCAAATACTGTTTGAATAAATAGGAATCAACAAGCAGGCTTCACATGAGTGAGTAAGCATGAATGATGTCTGTAGTTCATCCTTCTAGCTAAGAATAAATGTGACAGCATCCACAAATCCTCTAGGGTGAGAAGGAGTTCAGAAGAAATGATCTTTAATGAAGGTTTTGAGGGGTACCATGACATTCTCAAAACCCGACACTAGAGGGAAGTTGTACAAGCACAAAGCCTCCACAGGTGAAATCCTGTGGTGTAACCCCATACAAATTCGCTATTACTGTCTTGCATACATAGATGCACTTAGCCCTTTGGTCCACAAGTTTACTTATCTCAAACAGCAGTAAAGCTAATCCTGCAGATACATCTAAGGGAAAAGATCAAGAATCTTGACTCACTGAAGCAGTTCAGCCCTTTCAGAGGGAGGAGGCCATGTGGTTTTATGGTTTTACTACCTGTTGCTTTTTACTTGCCCATAATCACCACTTCTCGGTTGGGATGCAGCAGTTCTGCCATTAATAACAGAATTGAAACAGGATGCTTCTACTCTTTTATCCTTTGGGATTTTTTCCAAGCTCTTCTTTTCCAAACTGCTGCCTGATCACTTTCATGCTTATTTGTCACTTTGGGGGTGGCTTTGTGGTGTTGGGGAGGGAGAGGCAAGATTATCCTCCAAGACATCTGTGATAAACACAGATGCTCTTTGCTCAAACATGAGCAGAAAGTAATGGATTTTGTCACTGTGTTTTATAGCCATCTTGGACCACAGAGTGGAGGCTAAGCTCATACCCAGTCCAGACAAAGCTGAGAACTCTGAGAAACTAGTGGGGATAAGCTGCTCAGCAACAGGGAAACCAGCTCCAAAAATCACCTGGCACCTTCCCAGCATCCTGCAGCAGAAACCAAAGGAGTACCACATCAAGCTTGGCAACCAGACTGTAACTGTCATCAGCAATTTCACTCACACCCACTCCAAAATCCTCCACGAGTACCCCATCGCCTGCATGATCCAACACCCTTCTCTAAATGTGACTCTGGTCCTGCCCACAGACAGCCTGGTGCAGGGTCAGTATGAAATCCTGTTCCTGTCCTGGAGTAGGGAGGAGAACATGAAACACCTGGGGTAGATCAGGAAACTCCTCAGAAGGTTGGGAGCAGGTGGAGAAGGCACCTGGAAGAGCAGCCAGGGCTGGGTTTGGGAGGGATGGAGGAGGTGTCGAGGACCATCCAGACTTACTGCTCACCTGCTCCACTACACACCATGATGTGCTCCAGCTTCCCTGCCACTGCAAAGGACTTGCAGGGTTTCCCTGTCAAGTAGCCAGACACGAACAAGACATGCTGGCTTTGGGTAGGTTGGAGGGGCTGGGTGCTGCATGCCTGATGGCAGACCCCAAGCACAGGTCTGCTGGTGGTTCCCCTTGTGTGTGTGCTGGCATGTGCTCCCAGTGCCCCTGTCCACTCCATCTTACCCAGGGCACTGTCCAAGGGATGTCTGAAGTGGCTTGGGGGTGGTTTTATTTTCTCCATGCACTAACTGAGTACCTGTTGCTTTCCCCACAGATCCGGACAGCAGCGTGGCACCGGCCACTGTCATTGCAGTGGGGGTGCTGGTCCCCCTGACTGCTCTTCTCCTGCTCGGCTGCCTCTTCTGCTGCTACCTCAGGCACCTACGTGACCCGGAGAGAAACCCAGCCTGGCCGTGCTGGGTAGGTCTGCCTTTCCCCAGGGTGCTGCAGGGCTCACCCCCACCAGTCACAGGGCTTGACAGCGGGGCTCGGCTGTGCCCGGCCACCCCAGCAGTGGCTGCGTGCTGCCCAGCCCAGGCTGTGTTGGAGAGGCATGAAGGGATTAGTCCCCAGCCAGATGGCTGGGTAGCAGCATGCTGGGAAGGGGAAACCTGAACGTGCTTAGCCAGGCCCATAGGCATCCAACAGCGATGACAGCTAGAAAACATTCACTTTCTCAATGACAAGGCATTTTGCAGGGGAAGCATTGCTCTGTTACTGATTTGTGCACAAAATAGTTGTGCAAGCAGTGGCTGTACTCATGCACGATTCTTCTAAAACAACCACCCTTCAGCATGGCCAAGGCAGCTCATGGAGGAAGCAGATTTGAAGATGTGTCTCAAATAAAATGGGGTTTAAGGGGAAGAGTGTGCCTCCGTGAGGAAAGCCCAAGGCACTGCACTGCAGCAGGGGCTGAGACGCTGCTGGTTGTCCTCTGAGGCTGTCCTGACACAGGGGGTGAAGGATACAAGCTTGAGGTGAGGGTAAACTGAATGAGGTGGCATTGCTTCAGAAAATCGTAGCACAGTTTTGTGCTGAAGGCACCTCAGCCTCCTCCTGGAATATGCCTAGAGTGTGTACCCTGACTTCTGATGAGTGTTTTGGAGAGAAAGAAGCAGTGGGAGGAAATGTGATATATGTCTTCTGTGGGCACCATGCTTCTAGGTCCAAGCTGGAGCCTGCTGGAGGGGTTGTGAGGGGAAAACTTTAGTCTCCCCTCACACAGAGATTTACGAAGACCCATTTGGTAACACAAGTAGCCAGGATCTTTACCCTCGCACTGAAAACTTCCATGTATTTTGAAGAAGGAAAAAAACCCCAAACACCTCTCTTCTGTTAGGTCCTTCCTGCCTGTACCAAGCCCAAGAAGTGTGGGCAGTATGGAGCTGCAGGCAGGTGGGCTCCCATGGTGCCCCCCCATCCCCGGCACACTGCTGAACACCTGAGTAGCTGCTCGCCCTACACCTGTGAGAGACAAACATCTTACAACAGCACCTCAGACTTTCCAGCAAACCTGTTGTGACTCACTCCAAGAGGAATACAAAGAAAGGACTATTTATAAATAGATATTTATTTATTTTTTTACATGATAATATTCAATTTTTTAGAAAAAAAACCTGTAAAGTATTTATTTGAGACTCAGGCTGGATGCATGGATCTGCATTATGAAACTCATGCTTTGTTTTTTTTTTCTGGGGTTTTGAATATTATGTTTACTCCTTGCCAATATTTTAATGTTTCAAGCTCAGAACTGGGTGAGGGATCATTTGAAACAGGGCAGCATTTTGTAGGGGTGCTGGCCTGGGAGGTTTTGCTGATGATCCAAAGGAGACCCCACCAGGAGCCAGGGTGCAGAAAACTCGTGGAGCAGCCTAGTACGCTGATGTGAACTTCAGGTGTTGAACCTGTTCCCCAAAGGGCACTAGAGATCAGGCCAAGACTGCGTCTGGCCTGAACTTGTAACCTAGGTTCCAGGAGTGACAGGCTTCAAGCCAGGAGCCATCAGGCATGGGGAAGGTACCAACTCTGACTTCCACCAACCTTTCCTAGAAAGTAATGCAAAAGCAAAGGGTACATAGATATTTCCTTCTCCCCTCCTTCTGTGCTTTTCACAGCCCCCTTCTTAATTTCCCTAATCCATCACAGCTGCCTTATGTTTCCAGGCATCCCATCTGCCTGCAGGAGGCTGTAGGGAAGTAAAAGGGCAGTAAACTGTCTGATGTGTCATGGTACAGTGGCAGGTGAGTGCAGTGGGAAACAGGAGGCTGGTAGGAGTGAGGAGGTAGGTGCTGCATGTGGGCAGTACACCAGAACAGGGCAGCAAGTGTTAACTTATTGCTGAAACTCATTGCTTATAACCTGTACATCAGATCTGAGCAGTTCTGTAGTTCTCTGACTCCCACCCTATGCCCATGAAATCTTGCCTTGTAGGCCGAGGGAATGAGATATGAGCCCACCCAGCTGGTGTGATCTTGTGGGCAGCATGAAGACAGCCAGTGCAGGCTGATTCTTCTGGCTTCCCGGAGCAAGTCTGTGTCACCTGTTTTTTTCTTCACCCATCTATTTCAAATGTGTATCCCAGATGAATCAGGCTGAGTTGTAGTCAAAAAGCCAAGTAACCTAAAATGAAAGCAAGTGGGTGAGTTGAGAATGAATAAATATAGTCCTTGTCATAAAATGCTTTTTTAGGCTTCCTAATGCTTAGTAATAGCGCAGCTGGTGAGTGTGGGGAAAGGGGAACTGGCTGCAACTGTCATAACCAGGAATTTTTCTCCTGAGACCCGTAATTGCCAAAGGAGGAAGCCACGTTTTGTCCAAGCTTTCCCGCCATTGCAGCTTAATTTCCTCCTCCCCTGTGAGGAAAGGGGCCAGGGGAGACACAGGTTTTTCCCCCAGGTTGGTGGTTCACTGGGGGCAGAGGGCAGGGCTCGGCCCCAGCGCTCCCCTGATTGGGCTGAGCAGTATCTGCCCTCACCACTGAGCACAGTCCCCGCTCATGCTTCAGGATTTTTTTAGAGAGGGTTTTCTGAGTTTTAAAGAAAGGTTTCTGCTCATGTTTAAACTTTTTTTTTTTTTTAAGTCTTTTTTTAAAAAAGAGAAATGACTTTTTAACAGAATCAGGGAGTCTGAACATGGGTAGTGAAAAGGATTTGCAGAGGGAAGGGAGAAAAGGCACAAAATTGGCAAGGAACCTTTATAAACCCAGGAAGATTGCAGAGATTACCTATTCTTATTTTCTCCAAGCTGATCACCTGGAGTAGGGGAAAGCAGGATTTGGAGTCATGAAAATATCTGTTTATATGCAGGATTTTAATTTCTTTTAGTATTTAGCTGAATGTTGAATTGTGAAAAGCTATTGTAGGTTTGTACTTATGAGTATGATAGGACTAGAGACCATGTAAAAGAGGAGGGTGCTTACAAGCAAAACACTGTACAAAAAAGGAAGATTTATTTGTCTTTCGTGATATTGGAATGAGAAGAGCGAATGACATCCAAAGGCAGAACACTTAAACCCAATACATTTATATGCCTTCATGCTATATAAAGCCAGCTCCTAAAATGCAATGCCATAAAATGTTATATGCTAGTAATGTGGAGTCTAGCTTCACGTAGAAATGAGTGTGAGCATACACACTGTGTATAATTAACTGTCTCTTAGCTGGTAAAAAGGGTACAATATAGATACAAACCACCTTTCAGGGAAAAAAAACAAGTGTGTGACTGAGGGGATCAGAAGATTTTACTGCGAGTGAATAACATCCCAACTGCTATTCTGAGGTATCTTTGTGATCATCTTGTGTTTGTCTGTCCAGTTGTCTCTGTTAACAATTTGGCAGTAATTCTTTGGAGGTTATATTGCAGATGGGTTTATACAGATAGTATTTATGTTGATAAATAGCATCTAGGCTGTGAAATGTTCCAAGTTTTGAACAGGTCTTGAGAACTAAAAATAAACTGATAAGAAATTAAAGTGGAATGGACTGCTCTATTTTGCTGCTCCAATATGATTGATATGGAGCGAGTTAGCTTTATAAGCAAACAGAAGCAGAGCATATTTTTCAAAGTTTACTCTACAGGAATGTTCTGAGCTACTGTTGCCACCACCAAAAAAGAAGACCCAAACTGCAAAAAGCCCATGTTTTTGTCTGTCGCATGGCCAGGCAGTTGTCTGTCTGACCCAACCCTGCTTTCAGCCACCTCCTGTCACTGCAACCTGTCCAGCCCTGGGCAGCAGTGGTGTTGATGCAGGGCGTAATTTTTCCTAACAGATGCAAAAAGGGTAAGCAGGAGCGCCATCCTCCTGCTTGCCCCTTACTTCAGTAAAACTGGCTCTGGGTAACATTTCTGCAAAGCAAATGGGATTATTTAACCTGCATCTCTCGACTCTAGGATCCTTTGATCTTGACATTAGCCAGCTTGGGTTAAAGTTTAAACTCATGTAGGACCTTAAGACAGTGTCCTTTTAAAATGTGTATTTTGTATTTATATGTATTGGTATGCAATAAAGGGTCCTCAGGCTTCATAAAATGTCCAGGTTGCTGTTTTGGCATGCCAGGCTGTTTCAGAGATGTAATCTGTTGGTATTTTTCTCTGCCTGGGTACCAGGCTCCCGATTCTAAGAGAGCAGTAAGGTGTAAAGGAATAATCCCAGCAGATCTGCATGAACATGTGACTATGAAATGTAGCTGAAATGATGCCCTTAGACATTTTACAAGTCACTGGCTGAGACAGGAAGAATATTCTTTTCCCAAAACCGCTGCTAGCAGAGGGATGGAACTGAATCCACACAGTAAAAAGGAACTTTGTTTTGGTGATAGAAGATTGAAGGCGTCATTCATAATTTCTCTGTTGTGTGAGCCTGATGGAATGAGTCATCAACTAAATACCACACCAGTAGGGTTTTTTTATGAACTCAGACATGGAAGAAAATATAACCTATTGGTTTTCATCTGGTTTTCAGCACTGAGACCCTGCAAATCTGTGGGAATAATAGAGTTGCACTAATTGAGTTCATTTTTCTCTTTCATAAATGAGACTATTGAACCAGGCAGATAAAAATCAAGCATGTTTTTGTTTTCACTCTTAGTATACCAGAAAATACTCATATCTTGGAAGCCATACAAAGGGCCTTCCCATATCTCTGATGCTTTCATCTTTGCTCATATAAAACTGTTTTTGAAAGTAGCACTGGACTTGTTCAAGGTGTTTGCAGATGGACTCTGTTGTAGTCTGTTCAGCTTTGAAAAAAAAAACCCACCTGAAATTTCTGGAAATCCTGAGGGAATCCTCAGTCTAAGACCCATACATAACACAAACAGAGTTTTGATTTCTCTAATTTGTCAGAAGCTGCAGTCCTTAACTACCCTAAGGAAGGGGATGAAAAGGCAGCTTGTCTAGTAAAAGTGCACTTGAAATTGTACATGAAAGACTAAGATGCAGTGAAAAGCTGGCAGAAAAACCCTACATTTCAGAATAAAAATTAGAGGTTTTTTTCAGTCAGAATGTTTTATTTGATATTATCATTCAAGTAAGTTACAGAAGGTCCAGCATCTCATCATAAACACCAGGGTTACAATATAGGCTTAAATAAACCAATTTGCTTTGAACCCTCCTTG